TGATGGTACACCTTTATTAAATACAATAGTTATGTTATCAAATTTATCATTGAATAAACTCTCAGGTTCTGAATAGCACCATAAAACACTTAATGTACGCTTATTAATAGCAATCAGATTTGTCCAATTATTTAAAACACGTTTGATAAGTACTGTTTTACCGCTACTTGTCATTCCGGACACTATACAAGTAAACGGGTGTTTGAATTTAAACTCTTCTAAACACATTATGAAATTAATGAATACACATTTGCAAATGAATATATATCTTTATTTGCATTTCATTAAATATAAATTACACACAATATCTAATGTAAAAATAAATAATCTATATAATAACATATATAAACAAACAAGGTATATATCTTAAATCGAATTAACATAATTCTTTGTAACCAAACGGACGAGTGGTGTAGTCGCCATCAAGTGTCCGCTTATCGTACACCAATTGGAACTTCTTATTTATGTAATCAGTCTTTATCTGATTAAACTCGTTGACAACAAATTTCATTTGAGGAACGTTAATTATTGATTTATTATCCATAATGTATCTATCAATTATATCTTTCATTGATTCAAAATTTATTTTTAAACTCGTCTCAAAATTCAAAGTTAAACCTTTAACTTTAACTACGTAATCATACCGGTTTGAATCAGGATAGTATGCCTCGTAGCTATAGTTTTTAGGACCGCACGACAAGAATTTAGTTATGTATGCGTTGGGGTCGCTCTCTGTTGTTAACTCATTTGTTAGCTCGCCGAGATATTGACCGGTTTCTGGGATGTATTCGTCACCAGGCCTAGCAACGAATATAACTGAATCTGTATCGTAATAAAGGCACCGTTTGCCTAATTTCGTAATCAACTCCAATAACTTAAGTCTTGCATAACTGGTGACATATGACGCAATGATTACGTTTGAACTATTGGATTCTGTATGGAATTCGTTTCGTTTATTATACTTTACTTGAAGCATTTCGTCACTTATTAAATACGCATCTTCAACACTAATTGAGTCATCACTCAATAGAGCAAAAAACTTTTCCGGGCTCGATATGAATTCAACTTTAGGCATCTCCATAGAGTTTTGCCCAAATTTACCCCAAAAGCTATTGACGGCCAATTTAAATGTATTTCGTTTACCAGGATTGTCTTCAATTTTGTCCATGTCCAACTGGATATGTTCTTTATCGTAGTATTGTTTAATGTAGACTTCTTTGTCTTCTTGTGTTTTGACATTCTGTGGCCATCCGCTCCCTTCGATTTTCCCTATAATGCAATCATTAATAAAATTAGAAAATAGTCCATCTGTTGTATCGGACAACTGTGATGTACGTTCAAAGTGCCACACTTCAAATATTTTTAGAATCTTATACCCATACTCCAGCGCTTTTTTGAGTTCAGGTGTTGTCCACACGCCTTGGAGACATCTATCATTGTTGTCGTGATAACACGAATACCTGTTATCGGCGGCGCACTGATAGCACAATGTGAATATAAGTTTATTGTTAATTCGTTGAGGTAGTATCGGAAAGTATAGATTTCGCGGCGGCAAAACCACACAGAATACTAGTCCCTCATATGTATCAATACTTGTTGTCTCCGGGGAATGTATACGTACCGGGTGGCCGACAGGAAATTTCGATGTTTTGCACACAAACGGATATAGGCTTGTAAAGTCGTAATATTGTATCTTCTCGTCGCCCTCCACGTGATGGTACAACTTACTCGCGTTGACCCGGCCGCCGTAAAACGCCTCGCGCGGTAGTAGTGGCGGATTGTATTTGTGTTGTCTGTAATTGCGTAAATGATTTATGTAAAACGTGTCCATTGGTGCAGATGTTTGCCGCTGTTTTTTCAATTGACATTCCCATATGGAAACCAATTTAAATTTTGATTTCAAAAATGTCTCTTTTTGTATAGTCTTTACATATAATTCGTCCATAGTTTTACCTGATAACGGATTTATCGTATGATATCTGTTGCTTCTGAAACATTGCGGACATCCATGAAAAAAACAACCGTAAAATTCAAACACTTCTCCCGTTTGCGGAATAAATCCGTCGGCCACATAAGAGTAAATCCTATATTCACGTAAGATTTCGTGTTCTCTATCCCGCTGAATAAAATCTAACCATGCATTCGCAATATACGATTGCTTTCTCGTGTGCTCATAACCATTGTTTGGTACAATTGCTATTTCGTATGGTTTCATATAATTTGTACGGTATACTTCCATAACACTTTGCGGCAAAGTTATGCATCGCGTAAAACAATCAATGCCAAAACAATTAGTCCACATATCTCTAAACGTCATCGCTGCCTTCATTAAGACAGTCACATCATTCTTACAATATTTTATTAATTCCTTTTGAAAATCAAATTTGTTATTCTTATTCAAATTGTACCATTTGATGAATGCTAATCGCTCATTTGGTTTTTTGAGGTTTATTTGGTAATAATTAATGTGTGGCAGAGTGTCCAGCACTTTGTACCAGTTCTCAGGTGTGTTATATAAATGAGGAAAGTCTCCCTTTTGACAATCAGTGATACCAAATGTTTTGGGCAGATGTTTCAACGGCATCGGAATAAATGATAAAGAATCAATAAAATTGAAATTCTTATAACTTAAGCTTATAATCTTGTTTCCCTTTTTAATAACATTAGGTGTTACATTATTATTAAGGAAATATTTAATAATAAACTGGGAATCATAGGATTTGCTATTATGAGCGATTACTTTGACTTTAATATCTTCTTTCATTTGAGTTGCTTTCTTAAATTCTTTCAATCTTGATCCCAGATCTGTAAAGAGATATTTCAAAAAGTCTTCAGCACATTGCAATCCCGCAAATTCAAGAGACTCGCCGTGACAAAAAGAGCAATACTTTGTGATCTTTTCTTTTAAGTGTTTATCCCAACAAAAATCACACACTACTTCGATGCAGCATAGATTCGGGTGATGTATTTTATCACCATTATGAGTATCAGCTAAATGACATTCAAAATCATAAAATACAAACACTTTCAATTTTGCATCTTCTAATTGAATGAGCTCTTTATTATTAGGTGTTATATAGCATTCGTGATAAGATTGTTGAACGTAATTCTTACAATTTTTACATTTAACTTTACCACAGTAATGAACTTTTCCTGTTATTAATTTTTTGCACTCTTTGCAATATTTATAACTTTTGCATACATTTTTCTTATGGTTGTCATAACATTTTTTTGATAGAAAAAATCGATTGCATTCTTCACAATCTATTCGTGTTGTTTCCGTACACTTATCTTTTGCAAAACAATATTTGCAAGTATTCTCGCATCTATGACCAAATATATACGTATACCCTTTCAAACAAATTTTACAAAAGTATTTGCATCTTAAAAATGATTTAATAGACAACAGGGAGTCTGCATGGGTATCGCTAATTAGTACATACACTTGCTTTTCAGCATATTGCCCGCTAAATACAAATTGTTTTGGCGCTGAAACAACAATCAATTGATATTCAGAGCCTAAAGCGTTTTGAAACTTTTCAAAAGAGTCGTATGCGAAACCAATTTTATTTTCCTTTAATCCAGCGAGTTGACATAAATCCAACGCTTGAAGAGTTTGAATATTTCGTACGTTATCGCGCAGTCGCCTCCATTGATTTTTGCGAGCGCCGTCTGCATACGACTTTGATAAAATTATAGCTCTCGCCAAACAGATGCCATCACTCTTCACAGGCACAACTTTTGTTGAATTTTTTCGCCACGAATCAATGTTAACATACGATGCCGGGACGAGTCCTTTCCCTCCAATCAGCGGTCGTTCGACGGCAAATACATTTACTTCCAAAAGTCCATTCAGAAGAAACTCACGCTTACTTTGAGAAATTTTGATTATTTCATTCATAAGTAAATCGACATTGAAGTGTTGTTTTTCACGAAACGGTAGATATATCTCGTGGTCCAAATCGATGTTTTGTACTGATAACCGAACCATATCAGTATCGTTAAATTCACCCAGAATTGAGTCCAAGACATTGGTTAAAACAATTTTTATTTCATCAATAATAGTCAACAGGTCTACATTTTCTCGTTCAGTATCATAATATAAATGAATTATAATATTTTTACTATTAGCTTTAAACTTTCGACTATAACTCCTAGTCTCATTAACTATATCGCTATGTATAAATGGATCCATGTATACAGATATATGGTTATACAATAATAAGAGTAAATATAAAATAACTTCAAATTAAATAGCAAATATAATTAAAGGAGGAGCCATTAGTGGGAGGAGCTATGCGCAACGAGCGGTGATTCGTCCAGATATGTAAACAGCTTGTGAAGTGTATTGGCCATCCCTTCCTTTATGTCCAAATAAACGCAGAGTTTATTCACCATCAAATGTGCGTTATTCTTAAACTCAGGGATAACCACCTGTGTTTGCAACGATCGTTCGCTTTCCGAAACTTTCAGCATATCCATCAGTTTTGTGAGCCGTAGTTTGAAATCCTTGTCAACAGTTGGATGAGCCAAAACCTCTGCCAACAATTCATAATTGTTTTCATAATTTTTGAAATAGTCACCGCATACACACATACCAATCGCCCCTGTGGTACATGGCGGGCATATAGTTTTAAGCTTAGCCAATACTTCAGTTCCCAGAACTGAAATGTATAAGTCTTGAACCATCTCCTGAAGCGGGGCGCCTTTTAAATTCTGGTATTTGAGTAGGAAATCGACCAATATCTCGTGTTTTAACATCACTGCAATGTCTTCGGCGGTTAACAGCACGCCGTAACTCTTGTCATTTTCAATGGCAATCACTGAATATGAGTCGTCAATTTGCATACCAGCCAAACGTTTTCTCCCGTTAAAAGTACTCTTATCCTGTCCGCTCTTAACAAACTGTAGAAGCCATTGAAACTCGGACTGTGAAAAACTTATACCGATAGATAACTTGCCGTCAATAATAACGCGCAACTCTAGCCGAGTGATACGGTATGGAACGTTAGCATTGTCTCTTGTGTTAACGCCTGAGCCTTGTATAATATTAGCCTTTTTCTCGCAAAGCTTATCATTGATACACTTGATTGATAAAGGTATTTGATAGAGTATTATCCAATCCATGGTTGAAAAGTGAATGTCATAAATGATTAATTTTCACCCTATTTATAGGGATATTATATAACGCTAAGTCTGAGGGGGTGGGCGGGGCCTAGCTGGAATTGCGCAGAAATAATGATTTAATTAGTATCTCAATCTTATTGTCGGACCTGTGCGACATGTTAGTGAAATGTTTCTTATGTATTTTAACAGTAAGGTTTTAGTGATAATTTCTAAGTCTAGATAATTCATTTGAATTTCTATTTTTTGAATTATTTGGACTTAGAAATTGTCACAAAAGCCTTAATGTTAAGACCCATAGAATATTGACTATTTATTTATGTATTTTAACATTAAGGTTTGAGCAATAATTTCAAAGTCCAAATAATTCATTTGAATTTATAATTTTTGAATTAATAATACTTAGAAATTATCACTCAAGCCTTAATGTTAAAACCCATAAAGTTTTGACTATTTTCCTGTGGGTTTTAACATTAAGGTTTTAGTGATAATTTCTAAGTCCAAATAATTCATTTGAATTTATAATTTTTGAATTAATAATACTTAGAAATTATTACTCAAACCTTAATGTTAAAACCCATAAAGTTTTGACTATTTTCCTGTGGGTTTTAACATTAAAGTTTTAGTGATAATTTCTAAGTCCAAATAATTCATTTGAATTTATAATTTTTGAATTTATTAGACTTAGAAATTATCACAAAACCCTTAATGCTAAAACCCATAGAGTTTCGACTATTTTCCTATGGGTTTTAGCATTAAGGTTTGAGCAATAATTTCTAAGTCCAAATAATTCATTTGAATTTATAATTTTTGAATTAATTAGACTTAGAAATTATCACAAAACCCTTAATGCTAAAACCCATAGAGTTTCGACTATTTCCCTATGGGTTTTAGCATTAAGGTTTGAGCAATAATTTCTAAGTCCAATTAATGCAGTTGTATTTATTTGGACTTAGAAATTATTGCTCAAACCTTAATGCTAAAACCCATAGAGTTTCGACTATTTTCCTATGGGTTTTAGCATTAAGGATTGGGCAATAATTTCTAAGTCCAATTAATGCAGTTGTATTTATTTGGACTTAGAAATTATTGCCCAATCCTTAATGCTAAAACCCATAGAGTTTTGACTATTTTCCTACGGGTTTTAACATTAAGGTTTGAGCGAAATAGTATACAATTCAATGTACTTGAATGGATGAGTGTTAGAAAGCAAATGAGGGTCATATGCGCAATGAGTATGACTATAATACATGTTTAGCCACTCGTTGCTTAGGAAACGAGACATGCGCAGTAATCACCACTAACGATATGGTCAAGGAGTACTCTACAGGGGCTATGTATATATTGTTTTTAATTCAGGAGGCGTTGGTTGTAATAATAGTGTATTCACTTAGAATTCCGCCACCTATACCCCTTCAGGAGGCGTGGCTGGTGGTCATTGATATGCTAATAATAAATACTTTACTATACCTCTTCAATACCATATAGTTGGGATTTTTTAGCTACCTAAACACCCTTTAGGAGGCGTGGAGGAGGCGTCGTCATATACTAAAGTAAAGTATATAAGTGTGTGCTTCGAATAACGTAGTCACTTTTTGGTGATTTTTCCATCAAAACCCCCATTTAGGAGGCCTCCAGGAGGTGTATTGATATATGAACGTGATGTACATTACTGAACGCTTCAAATAACGTATAGTGAAATTTTTGTGATTTTGCCACCTAAACTCCCGTTTAGGAGGTGTCTGGTGGGGTCGGTGCTATATAAATGGTAAGTATACCAATACCCCCTCATTATGGCACATAGTATACACTTTTACTTTTTTGCCACCTTTAACCCCCATAGAGGGGGGCTGTATGGTGCTTAGTATTAAATCAATAGTAGACACCATATACACCCCCTCTGAGCACACCGTCATTGATAAATAGCAATAAATCATAATTAGGTCACAATAGTGACTCATATGTATGCCTAATGTATTGCATAAGGGTTCAATGACATAACAATATTATAGTTGTATAGCGAAAGGGTATATACATAACATTACTTGCATTAATTACATGCATACAATATCATAGTATTGTATACACAGTACAGTATACCAAATATACTGGTTATGAGTGACCTAATTATGTTATATGTAGCGCAATATGTGCTGAATTGCACTGAAATATACTCTATGTATTATATAACTATGTCTAACATTACTTTATATATCATATATATTACCAAACATATGAATCATTGATTTAAATCAATAACAAACAAGGTTAAAATCGACGTTTCAAAGGTATTTATTACTACTTGTATAAACCTTGAATTGTACTTTAAATCAAGAATAATTATAAGTGAATTCTGATACTGCATATAATTGTGCGCAATTGAGCATGCTGATTAATGCAATCATATATTAGATAAAAATTACTTTTGGTGCTATAAATGTTGTCTCAAAATAATGTAGTGATAAAATTAAAATACGCTTTCAAAGAAAGTTTTAATTACTGTAATTTTTACAAATAATATTAGTATTGAATTAATATTTACAAATTAATAATGTTTTTCGGATTAAATTCGTTGGTTTTGTTGATCACATTTGTGGTCGTTATATATTAGTGAGTAAATTAATATAATATGAAATTTATAAAAATTGATAATAAATATTATTAATACAGTATAATGAAACAGTATATGAAACAAAAATATAAACTTGTTTTTATTGTTTGTCAGCTTTTTAACCAAAAACTATAAGTTCTGGACCTCTCGCGGAATCAATGGCCCGAAACCTATTGTCCTTTTTGGCACATTTTATCAAAACTTTTTTAAACCGATGACAGAAGTGGCGGTCGATAACAGCACAAAATATGGCAAAGTCTATGGGTTTGACAATACATTGAAACGATTTTAAATAATTATTTATAACTGTTTGTAATATATTAGGGGATTCTTCGGCACTCGACCTTTCCTTATGATAAGCGATCCAAAACTGGTCAAAGAGATTATGATAAAAGATTTTCACTTATTCGCCGATAGAGACGATATGATTACTGGCGATTCACTTAACGATAGGTCACTGTTTAATCTGAAAGGAGATGAATGGAAAAATATGCGATCAATTGTTAGTAAATGTTTTAAACTTTATAACAATTTTCGTAAACTTATGAAACATTTAATCGTAATATTTATTGATAGATAAGTCCAACGTTTTCGTCGGGAAAGATGCGTTCAATGCATCCCATTATCAGTAATTGTGTGAAGAATTTGGAGAAACAGTTTGAGACGAGTGTAAGGAATGGGAAACAAGAGATTGAATTGAAGAAAATGATGTCAAACCTAACAATGGATGTGATATCTCAGTGCGCTTTTGGCACTGAACTGGATATTTATGGCGGAAAGACCAGTGATTTTATAACCTATGCTCAGAAGATAGTGCAGCCGTCGTTTCGGTTGTGGTTTGTGTTTCTAATGGTCGTATCGTTTCCAAAGTTTATCCAATGGACGGGAATGTCTCTTCAGGATCCCGGAGCCTCCACTTTCTTTCGCGCAGCCGTTAGTAAATGGTTTTAATTATAATAAATATTAAGTTTTGTTTCTATACTTTTTCAGATCCGATCGATTATATCGCGTCGAAAATCAGATAAAACTAAACAAAGAGATTATTTACAACTAATACTAAACGCACAAAACAAGACTCTGGACACGACTGACGAACCGGACGTCGAGGGCGACAAAAGTGATCAGATTTATGGCGAAACGGATCAGTTAAAGGACCAGAAGATTAATAAATCAAAGTTAGAGGTGTCGGAGGACGACATTCTGGCCACGAGTTTTATATTCTTTGTGGCCGGATATGAGACGACAGGTTCTCTCTTAACTTTCCTCTTCTATAGCCTGTCATTGGATGAAAAATGTCAACAAAAACTGTACGAAGAAGTTCGCAGTTTTGATGGCAATTATAACTACGAAAACATCGTCAAAATGCCATATTTGGAGGCATGTATTGCCGAAACATTGAGAATTTACAATCCATTGGTTTTTACTGAAAGAATCCCTTCCGAAGACTACAAATTAGGTTTGGTTTTAATAAATATCTTAAAATTCTTCGTGAGAGCAGTCAATGACTTATAAAATTGTAAAATTATAGGCGACACAGGAATTACTATTCCTAAGGGAACCACTGTTGACGTTGATATCCAGTCTATACACCATAACCCGGAGTATTACCCAAACCCGGATCGTTGGGACCCTGAGCGTTTTATGCCTGAAAATCGTGATCAATTAGTGCCGTATACTTATATGCCGTTCGGAATGGGACCCCGAAATTGTGTGGGAATGAGGTTTGCGTTAATGGAGGCCAAGACAGCGATCGCTCATTTGGTCAATAAGTTTGAGTTTTATCGCACGGAAAACACAACGACTCCTCTTAAGCCAAAAATGATGCAATTTTTGCTCAATTGTGGAGAAATTAAAGTTGGGATGAAATTCAGGAAATAATTGTAAATTGGAAAATAATCAGTTAATAATTGGTAATTCAATCTGATTTACTGATTGATAAACATACAAATATGTTTTATAATTTATAGAAAAATTACTACAAGGTTAATTTTTCTATTTAAATTAACTTATAATTGTTTTTAAAATATATGTTTAAATCTATATTTGTGATTTATTAACAGTACTTATTGTTAATCAAGATTATCGTTACAATAAAATTTTTTAATTTGTGTTAATTTGTCGTAAGTTGTTATATTACAATTGATTTTGTAATAAATTAACATTACAAAATCAATAATAATCACAATTAAATAAATATAATATTTTAAAGCATATTTTTTGCAAAATACTCATTGTTTTTGAGCATCACATCATAGCCTTAACTATATTATACGATATTCTGTGACACAAGTGTTAGGAATATTGATTTCAATGAGAGGGTGGGTCCAGAATATGCGCCAAACAAATCATGATATCTATTGCACACAACATGTCAACAAAATAGTCATATATTCTGGCCTTGAATTCTGTAACTCTCTCAAGCATTTCAATGCAAACCTTCATCAGATGTTTTGGTTTGAATTCCCAGCGAAACTCAATCTAAAATATTTAGCGCTAAATATATTTGAAATTTTATTTAATTAATTGTAAATTCAATTGTGTTTTCAAATGTTGTTTCCAACGATTAGCACAATGTTTTTTATAAGCATGTATTGGATTCATGTGGCCGTCATATTTACTACATGTTTGATTGGACTTTATATGTAAGTATTATTTGCATAATTATTATGTAATGCAGTAATAGTATTACATTTGATTTATTTGTAGCATAATTAGTTGATTGCAAACATTTTAATTACTAACTACCAGGACAGTTTGTGGATTTACGTTTTGTAGTATTTATAGTGTTTGTTGTTTTTTAATTATTAAATTGATTTGAAATCTATTCAGATATTTGACTCGAAATTTCAATTATTGGAAATCTCGTGGAATCGATGGCCCGAAACCGATCGCACTCTTCGGCACATTTTATCAGATATTTTTTAAACCCAATCCAATAGTGGTGTTGGAAAACGCCAGGAAATACGGCAATATTCACGGGTTTGTTACTCGCCATTGAGTTACACAATAGAGATCATAACATAGATGTTTTGTTAGAGCATTCTTAGGCAATCGCCCGATGCTATGCATAGCTGATCCGGATCTGATCAGAGACATCGCCATCAAAGACTTTCACGTGTTTGTCGATCACAACGACTTCCAATCTGGGGATCCATTCAGCGATCGGTCGCTCTTTAACCTAATGGGAGACGAGTGGAGAAAAATGAGATCAATTGTGCGATTCATAAGTCATTGAATCCCAAGATTTGTATTTAATTAATAAACAAATTTAATCAATAGATTAGTCCCACATTTTCATCGGGAAAAATGCGATCAATGCATCCCATTGTCACCGATTGTGTCCATCGACTGGAGAATTATTTGATGGAAAAAGTGATTAATAATGTCAGACATAATAAAGAGATTGAGTTGAAGAAAGCGATGTCGGATCTGACGATGGATGTGATCACTTCGTGCGCTTTCGGCACTCAATTAGAATGCAAATATATCACAACACATATACATTTGAATCAATTATAGTTAAGTTATTGCATAAAAATATAAAAATGATATTAATGTCTGTTTATATACCTCCTGTTCCTAACATTCCTCAGTTAATTGAATTCAAAGATTGTTTAAATAAAATTATTACAGAATATTCTGATCATTTACTTATAGTTTGTATTATTTTGAAAAATTGAACGAGCTTTATGTGAACGACGTTAAAAATTTAAAGATGAAAATTGTAATAATAATTATATTTTATAATTAATATTACTGTTTATAAAGTTGGTCTGATATTATAACATATTTTAGTTCTTTTTAAATGATAGAGATTAATTAATTGAGGTTTTAAATATCGATTAATTATACTATATAAATTAAACACGAATATTCTCATAATTAATATAAATATTATTATGTTTTATAGATTAATATTACAATTTTTATCGTTAATTTTTTTAAGCTCGTTAACAGAAAACTGGTTCACATAAAGCTCGTTCACTAGCCGAGGGTAACATTTGTGTAAAGTATGTGTTGTGCAAAACATTAGTATAGCTATGATTCATAGCAAACACAACTAATTGTGAACACAAAACCCCATTACAATGTAATATATACTTTTCTGCCCTTTTTCTGCCCTTTTTTGTTAGCCTTAATTACGAATAAGATCATTTTATTTCACATTGAAATTGTACTAATATGATGCAATATCAAAAACTTGTTCCAAATGATTTAAATGAGATTACTGTTATATTATAATTAATAACTTATATTAAAAATATTATGAGATAAATAACAATTAAAAGTAAATTATAAAAATTATAATTATTTTCCTATCAATTAATGTTTAATAGAAAACTTATCAATATTTAAAATATTTAACACTTATTGTTTGAGTAATATTTATAATAAAATGTCATAAATTATAGATTCAGATCAAGTATTTAAAGAATATTTTAACAATTTAATTATTGAAGTTTAATTTATTTTAAGTATTTTAATATTATTCAATTATTAACTATTATTAGCATATCTCAATTTAATGATAGCTTTGATAAATATATTTTGGTGCAACTATTTACTATTTAAAATAATTTATAAGTAATAATTTATAAAATAAATTTCCACTCTATAAGTTAGTATAAAGTTTTACACTGTTTACACTGTACATTATGTCTAGCAATGGTTATAAATTATTATATAACTTATATGGATTACGATTCGTAATTTACGAATAAGATCATTTTATTTCACATTGAAATTGTACTAATATGATGCAATATCAAAAACTTGTTCCAAATGATTTAAATGAGATTACTGTTATATTATAATTAATAACTTATATTAAAAATATTGATAATTTTAATTTGATATAAAAAATTATAATTGAATTTCCTATACATAACTCAATATACAATTCAACATACAATATGTATATTTCAATAATTTTTATATAAATGAGATGAAACAATCCAAGTTTGTCTTTAGGGTAATCCAATGCATTTAATTATTGTCTTTGTTTGATCCCTACAGTGATAACACGTGCTGAGAACTTTCCTTTAGGTATCTTAAGCGGTACTTCAGTACTCTTTGAGCGGAAGAACTCGTATTTAGTGATAATGTGTGCCATCACTGACTTGGCCTCCATTAACGCAAACCTCATTCCCACACAATTTCTCGGTCCGGCGCCGAACGGCAGGTATGTATAGGGCGTGAGTTTATCACGATTTTCGGGTAANTTTCTCGGTCCGGCGCCGAACGGCAGGTATGTATAGGGCGTGAGTTTATCACGATTTTCGGGTAAAAACCGATCGGGAATGAAGTCATGGGGTTTGGGATAGTATTCCGGGTTGTGATGAATGGCGTGAATAGGAATCTGTATTTGAATACCTTTTTTAACAGTTATTCCGGTATTGCCTGTAATAATGTGAGTAAAGAATTACTAAGTTATTAATAAAACTTTTACCTTTTTCAAAAAAGCAATTACCTAATTTGTAGTCTTCACTGCCAACACGGCTAGTTTGCGGCGCCGGACTATAGAATCTTAAGGTCTCACTAATACATGCGTCCAAATACGGCAATCGGATAATTGTCTCGTAATCCAGGTTTCCGTTGGCGTCAGTGTTTGCCACCACCTCTTCCATCAGTTTCTTCTGACACTCGGGATTAATGGCCAACAAATAGCTCATGTGTGACAACAAATGACCAGTTGTCTCAAAACCGGCCAAAAAGAAGAGAAAACTATTGGCCAATATATCAAAATCTGTTACTTCCAGTTTGGATTTGTTAGTTAATAGTTTGCTGTTGTCATCCATCCCGTGGTGCGCCTCCGCGTCCATCAATTGGTCGTCTGTGTCCTCCAAGTCGTTCACATTTTTCTGTGCGTTAATCACAAGTTGCAGAAAGTCGTGATGGCGTCCACTCTTGTCTTTCTTTCTTTGATTTAGGATTTCTGTGATCTTTTCATGCAATAAAACAATTGTTTAATAAATTAAATGTTTAATGAAATGATAACTACTCACAGCTTTCATTAAAAATTCAGTGGTCGTCGGCTCTAATATAGATATCTTAAAGAATTTCATCACTGGTTTCATAGTTATAAGCATGAATGACCTCCAAATGCTTTGACTAAACAGCTTCTTAGCGTTGACTACAAATGGATTGTTCGGATCGTTATGTGTGTCTGTCTTCGTAGCGAAGGCACAGCTGGCGATCACATCCATAGTGTAGTTACCCATTAGTGACCGAACGTCAATCTCTTGATCGCCGTTCGCCGCCTTTTCCAACATTTTGTCCACACCTTTAACGCAGTGCTCAACCATTGCATACATTTTACGGATCTTTCCGGTAGTGAATGTCGGAGAAACATATGGCCAAGAATTGAACAAATATATAATAAATATTAATTTGTAAACTAATCCTATATTGGACTAGTCTTACAATAGATCGCAATCGTTTCCATTCATCATCTTTAACCGCAGTCAACATTTGATCCAATACTTCATCAATAGCCGCCAAATCGTTACGATTCACAAATAGGTGAAAGTCTTTGATCATAATATTCTTCACTAATTCTGGATCGGCTACTGTTAGTTGTGGTTGTGATCCCACAAATGTGCTATTTGTTTGGAGTAAACAATTTAATTAATTACTTATTGTTTTTTTAATATGAAATATTTTTAGTTAAATTTTGTTAAATTTTATACAAACAATATACCCATAAATAGTTCTGTATGTCTCAAGTCTGTGTTTTCAATTTCATGAAAAGTACGAAAAAACATTTCCCAAACATTTCCTAATAATATGATAGGTTTGGGACCTTTTATACCACGAGATGACCAGTAATTGAAATTACGGCTCAAATAACTAAATATTTAATTTTAAAAAATTAGATTTGATTTAATTTTAGGTAATATGTAAAAACATATTATACATACAAATAAAGAGCAATGAGTACCGAAATTATTACACCAAAAGTCGTATAACCCAATGAAAACATTATTTAATTTAAATATAAATTTTTAAAACAAATATTGAATACAAACTTATATAAAGTACACAACTGTTAGGTATAACCAAACGTTAAAAAACAATAGTAAAGAAGTTATGTTTGTTTGAGAACTTAATTAAAAATGTTATGAAAATAGCAAAACTAGATTAACTTTATATACTGTAAAACTAATCATACATTATATAGATTAGGAATACGTTTAAATAAAATATTTATTAGGTTCCATAGGTTCAGTACATTGGGGCCGCGATAAACCTAACTTTGCATTACAAACAATATTATTCCTATGATATAAAAATACTAATTTACTAAAATACAGCAAAATGTTTGTTATAGCATTAAAATTCAATGATTGAATGCAATCGCTTTGCAATGATAATCGGTTTAGATTCTCGTACTGTATATGAAAAATAGTGATATAAGTTATCAGTCTTTCAATTGCATTACGAAATACTTGTTTAACCATTAATTTGTATAAGCATTGCATCCCTTTATTATTGTTTATATTGAATTATGTATGCGATTCTTGACTGACATCTGATTTAGTCTATTGGCCATAAAAGTGAATAATAACAAAACTTTAGGTTTGACTAAAATTATTTAAATATTTAATTTATAATTTAAATAAAACTTTATTCTTATTACATTAATACATGTAAGGAAGTCTAATTAAATTAAATATTTGATAAATAATGAATTATATTTATTGACTTAAATATATCTGTGAATTACAAAACATTTAACAAAACATAACATAACAGATTCAATACTTACATGTATAATAATGAGGCATTAATTTAATATTAACTCAAAGATTAATACTTTTTTTTTGGTAAAATTTGGCCAAATATTTGTAGAACTAATAGAGATTCATAGCATTACAAAAAATATATTGTGTTTATACAGTAATAACAGTATTATTAATATTTTTGTATCAATTATTTCTTAAACTTATGCCTCAAATCTATGCCGATTTTTAAATTGCCGTAATTAAGGATTAAATGAAACTTTTTGATCATATCATTAGTGAGTGCTTTAGTTTCGGCCGTTTTGATGAATATAAATTTGTTGACCAAATGAGCGGCCGCTGTCTTGGCCTCCATTAAGGCAAACCTCATTCCCACACAATTTCGGGGTCCCATTCCGAACGGCATATAAGTATACGGCACTAATTGGTCACGATTTTCGGGCATAAAACGCTCAGGGTCCCAACGATCCGGATCGGGGTAGTAATCGGGGCTGTGGTGTAGGGTCTGGACGTCTAGGTTAACAATCATGCCTTTGGGTATCTTTAATCCAGTGTCGCCTAAATTATCACAAAATTAATACACAATTTGTATAAAATACAAATAAATTCAATACCAATAGTATATTCCTGTGAAGCCATTCGTCCGATTTGTGGCACAGGATTATAAAGTCGGAGTGTTTCGGCGACACAGGCCTCCAAATACGGCATTTTAGATATACTCTCGTAATCATAGTCTCCGTGAAAACCCTTTACCTCTTCGTATAGTTTTTGCTGACATTTTTCATTCAAAGCCAACGAATACAAGAGATATGAGAGAAGCGATGCCGTCGTGTCGTAACCGGCGATGAAAAACAGGA